TATAAAGTGATGGATAAATATTGGACATCTTGCTGATACAGCTGATGTGTCAGAAGTCTCAAATTAAGAAAATATTTATCAGTGGCAATGGTCTAGTTTAAATGTTCATTGAAAAGCGTAACTATCCAGTAATTATGTTTTGGTTTTGGATGTGAGGTTGGTGCATGAGAATATTTGAACTGAACCTATCCTTAAGGTTCCTGGGAAGGGTTATTGGGGAAACTTTTCTTCCAAGAGGCAGAAGGGTAGACATCTGGATGTTTCTTGTATTCATCAGAGCCTTGAGTATTTCTAATTTGGTCTCTCAATTTTACTCTCTCTATTTCTCTAAAACCTGGTCCCATACATGCAAATGTAGGGCCATGCTAATTTTCCTGACTGATTCAATTTGTCAAAATATAATAATTTGCTCTCCAAACCCACGTGTTAAGAATTTCTGATAAATAGAACAGTCTCACCCTAACAATTCCTCTTTTAATCACAAATAGTGAGCACATAAAGTGGCTTGCCATCTGTACTCTGGCATGTTTAAAATTCTTCAGATATTAGCAGATTCTTTTCTGTTTTTGCATGAATTCGGGTTTGCCTGGCTGCAGAATTGAATGTTTTTGGCCTCTGCTGACTCTCTGGTTTTGAATGGAATATAAATGGTAAATTTTAAGTGGGCTCAACAAAAAGCATTTGGTTTTGACTTTGCTTGTGAGAAATTGAATCAATCAGAAATTCAGTAATTGGGAAAATATTTTTTCAAGAGCAATGGGAACAAAGTATTACAACTTATTTGAAAAGGTCGATAAAAGGCATATTCAAAAGCTATCAAGCATGGATGATTTAAATGTTCTGAACCTTTTAGACTTTTAAGATCAAATTTCTTTTTCTCACTTATAATAAGAATAGGCCTTCTTTTCAATTATATGCATAAAATGGCACTATTTAAAGCCCTCTCACAAGAAAGTTCTTGCAGGAAGTACATACAGTGAATAAGAACCAAGTCTCTGGGGGCTGGTGCCCCAGGTACATCCCTGCTCTGCAGCTTCCTGCCAGTGCCAGTGTGGGCAAGTTACTTCTCTGTGCATCATGTTTCCTTATCTATAGAATGGAGTTGATGTCTTCACACCTCTGTATGGGATTATGTATGCGTTACATGAGTGGATGCATGTCAAGTGTTCTCAAGGGTCCCTGAGATACAGGAGGGATTGTGTGACACTGCCAATAGTAATTGCTGAGGTCTCATGCTGAGCTGCCTTCCATATTGATTAATGACTGCGTCATTTTTTTTTTTCCTATGAGGATACTGCAATGCCTTCTATGAGAGAGGTTAAGCATCATGTTGTTACAGGCATGTGGGAAGGAAGGGGTAGAGCTGGGATTCACACCCAGCCCCATGGATGCCAAACCTGTAGGCTTCCACGTGTCTGCAAGAATCCCTGAAGAGCATAAGGACAGAGGGCCCAAGCTGAGCAGTCCAGCTAATATTAATGTCAAAGAATTCTAGATATCAGGTAATGAGCAGAGACCAGTCAAGACCAAGGTAAAATTGCAGAGTAAATGATAATTTGACTCTACCCAATGTTGCAACCTTCATGTCTCTGAAAAAGCACCTTGTGGAATCTGGAGAACAACAGAGGATCTGAGAAATAACATATGCACACCCCCTCATATTTCAGGTGAGAGAAAGGAGACACCGTGAGCTGTAATAACTGGCTGAGTTCTCAGGTGAAGTGACAGAGGTGGGCTGGGAAGCCAGCCTTTGCCTGCTGGTGGGGCTTCTCTCTACCCACCAGTTCATGACACTTAGGCCATTGCTGATTTCTGGAGGTCCACTAGGAAGCCAGGCTTCACAAGGGCAAATGGGCAGAATAAGGAGATTGTTAAGAACGAGGGAAAGCGCCAAGTGGAGGCTTTATGACTGTGGAAAGGGGTCAATGAATTTTGTGTGGAGTTCTTTGGAGAACATTTGTATTATTGTCTTAGGACACACTGAGTGGCGTGAGAAATGCTCATTGTGGTCTAATAGGGCTTTTAGGAGCATCTTCCTTAGAGAACCCTGAGAATTTCTCTTGACCAGTAATATAAGAATTAAAACAAAAACAAATGATGTCTATATCTGTATTAGTTTGGTAGGGTGCCCCAAGAAAGGACTATAAACTAGGCGGCTGAAACAACAGAAATTTGTTTTTTCATCATTCTGGAGGTTATAAGTCCAAGATCAAGGTGTCAGAAGGGCTGGCCTCTCTCCTTGATTTATGGACAACCGTTTTCTTCCTGCATCTTCATAGGGTCTTCCCGTTGTATGCATTTGCGTCTCCTCTTCTTACCAGTCTTATTGGACCTAATGACCTCATTTTACTTTAGTGAGCTCTGTAAAGGTTCTAGTTCTAATACAGTCCCATTCCAGGGTAGTTATTGAGATGCAGGACTTCAACATATGCCTTTGCGGGGGATCCAATTCAGCCCATCATTTCTACATCGACATTTATAGCTACATCTATATCTTGAGCTACATCTGCATCTATCTCTATATTTATGGGTCTTATTTGAACCTGAAATAAAATTAGCAAGAGCTCCTGCAAATCCTGTTGTATGACAACGAAAGGCTACATACTCTCAATCTAATTTCCCCAGCTTGATTAGCACATGGCCTGCTAGTACGAACATATTAGGAATGAGCATTCTCACAGCCAACAGTTATTTAATTTCAGGCTCCTGAGACCTACTGCTCCATTAATTCTGGAAGCCTGGGGTAAGTCACCCAGCTGCAGGCTGGCTGTCAGAGCGCCGTGGGGTCAGACCTGGAAAGGCGCACTGTGGGCAGCAGAAAAGGCTGCGCTGTGAGCATCCTTGGCTTTGGTCTGCGATTCTCTTTGAGGCTGGTACTAAAGGCTCACACTTGTTTAAACACAAAAGGTGCAGACATGAATGTGGGGCAATTATTTGCTCCTTTTAAGCAAGCAGGCATGTGAAACTAGAATGTGCAAGGTTTTTTTTCTTTTTCTTAAGAAATCGAGTTTATCCAAGAATTTGGCATTTTCCCATATACCTCCCTTGCGTACTCCCTGCCTCCTCCCTTCCTCTGCTTCCTTATCTCCCTCTCTCAATTATTTATAGAGTGAAGGCTGCAATGCACAAGGCACTCTGCAAGGTCTTGTGGGGGATGAAAAGGTGACTCAGAGGCACTGTTTCTTGCATGCTTTATTCTGATAACCTATTCCCAGTTCTGGTTTGGGGTCTGCTTTCAGGCATTGCTCTGCTAGTTCTTGGCAAGCCTGAAAGCTGCTAGGGCTAAGTGTCCAGATCACCTGTACCGTCAACATGCCCCTTCCTCCTACAGAATTGGCTGCTTTCTTCCCCAGTCCTGGCCCACCCAGGCTGCTGGCTCTTAACCCTTCTGCCCCTTTGGCAATCACAATACTCTGTCTTGCTTTCCAGACAGTGTTATTTTCCTTTTTTTATGAGCTATTTCTTCTGATTCCTCCCACTACTTCCTCTTCTCACTTTGACTGTTTTCCTGATTCACATTGATCATCTCCGATGAGCCAGCTTAGTGTGAAAAAATAAAGGTTCTAATGATTTGCTTCCTTTCTGCTCACTGTTATTCATTCCAGGGAACAAAGATTTGCTTCAGGAAAGCCTTCCTTGGAGCTGAGGGTGAAAATCCGACCTTAGTTTATCTGTCCATTGCCACAGCCCTCAGCTCATCCTAAAGCTACCTCCCCACAGCCCCCAATGCACACGGGATGGTATATTGTTCTTTAAAGTCAGGAGTGGGAAGGGCAGGGAATGTGAAGAATGAGATTCCACAACCTTATCTACAGGTTATAAATGCTAAGAGTCATGTCTGCAATAGAATCTAAAACTGGCATCCATTCCACTTGACATTTTATGTCTACAACTTAGTTAGACTGGAAAAAAGTGGTCAGATCTGCTATTTTTAAAATTACATACACACAGCCAGACTGTGTGAGCTCCTCACACCTGCCAACCCCTGGGAAGCCAGCCTCCCTCCTTCCTGCTTTTTAGAATCACGCCCAGCAAAGTCCTATCCATCTACTTGGGCTCCTAGGCATCTGAGAACTCGTTGAAGTCAGTCTCTGTCTAAGTGTACAAATTTGGTTGGGGTAAAATCTTGTACCTGAGAAACAAACAGATTCAGGGCCTAACGGGGACTCAGTTCACATGGGGAGTGAATCAACAGAAAGAACATTTTCCAGACTACTGTCACTACCACACTGCTAACTCCTGTACACTTAGAGTCTTTACCACTCATTCAGAATTGTCACAATGTGCCCTCGACATTGTTAATTAGCCCCCTTTAAGACTGAAAATGCTTTGTCCTCCACTTAACATGGCAGTTTCTTGATGAGGACAACACTTTGTTTTTTCCTTGGTATTTATCTCTATTGCCTAGTGCAGAGATAGTGCTCACAATAGGGTTGATTGACAGCAGGGTCTGGTGAGAAGAACCAAGTTTAGAAAACAGATTTAGGAGAAAGCTCAATTTTATTGTCAGTACATCCACAAGAGGGGTCTGACTTCCATATATTTTGAATGGAGAGATAGGTTCTTAGTCATGTGATGCTTAGTTTGGGCCAACATATTGCACTTGACACTAAACCAGAACGTTCCTGTTTCATGTGGATTCAGAGTTGAAGGGGGTGTCTTACTGTCCACCCCTGACCTGAGGTAGAGCTTGTCGGAGCAGCTAGCCATAGGTGATCAGGGCAGTGTACTTGGTGCGGGCCACCAGGCTTGGAGACGTGGTCCTAGGTGTCCTAGGTGGAGTTGTGGACCCGGCACCCACCCAGCCACACCAGGGTGGTGATGCATTGCTGCCCCACCCCCACCTCTGGCCCTCTTCTGGGAGACAGCATCAAGTTAGCAGGCTTGACTCCTCAAAGTATGCCTGTGGCTCCTCGGGAAACTTCAAACTTATCTGCTTAAGAAATAGCATGTAAAGAGGAAACAAACCCAGGCAAGGCTAATAACAGGGGTTTTCAAGCTGTGTTTTAGCACGCCAGTCACAGAAGATCCACGTGTTATTCACTGGCGCGTTCAGCGCAGAGGCTCCCCCACTCTGCCATCCTCCAGCTCCAACTGTTGTGCTGCAGCAGGATTTGGTTGGAGTCTGGGCAGAGCCCCCTTTATGAACAACCCTCCGGATTGATTCTGTTTCAGCAGAAGTGATCCTTGCCTTCCCAGCCGCACACAAAGCAAGGAGATCCTTAAAGGGACCTGCCTGGTCCTCCGTGCAGCCACAAGCCCGCGTAGGTGCGGACTCAGCGACCCAGGTTCTCGCGGAGAGAATGAATGGAGAGGGCTCTTGAGAACCCCTAGTCCTCCCGGAACCCGGCTGGGAGGGAGCTGAGGCCGGAGCGCATGGAGACTACCAATCCCCGCGGCCCGGAGCACGATTAGCTGCTCTGGGGATGCTGGGCGCGCGGCGAGCATCCTGCCTGTGGTCCAGAGGCTGCTGGGGCGCTTCCTGCGGTCTGCGCGGATCGGAGCCAGCGCCGGGAGGGAACCCGCATTCAGACCCAGCGCACCGGCTCCCCGCGGGTCTGCGAGCAGCCGGTGCGGATGCTCAGCTCTAGGCATCTGCAGGAGCCCCCCGATTGCAGGGATTTGGCTGTTTAATCGAGCGAGGTTACCACCTGGGAAGGTCTGCGAGGTTGATCCTCGTTCCAGCTGCTGTGATAACTTCGGGACTGACTGTTGACTTCTCCGGGTGCCGGGGACTCTGTCCTGCACCGCAACCACTCCCGCCACTTGCCCAGCTCTCCTCTGAGGGCACCTCTGGCAAGCGGGGCGAGGAGGGGTTAAAAGGCAAGCAGAGCCCCCAGCTGCTAACCTGTGTGACCGCCTGTGTTGTGGGATTCTGAGAGGGACCGTGCGCCGCCCGGGGAAGCAATGCAAGTCTCCATAGCCTGCACAGAGCACAATTTGAAGAGTCGGAATGGCGAGGACCGACTTCTGAGCAAGCAGAGCTCCACCGCCCCCAATGTGGTGAACGCAGCCCGGGCCAAATTCCGCACAGTCGCTATCATCGCCCGCAGCCTGGGGACCTTCACCCCCCAGCACCACATTTCTCTCAAGGAGTCCACCGCGAAGCAGACTGGCATGAAATATAGGTATGGATATCAAATTTCCTCTTCCCCAGGGGTTCCGTGTCCTGGACAGGTGCCCTGGAGAGGTACAGTGGTTTTGAAAAGTCACTCACCCATCGGTGGATTGCTTCATTTAGAATTCTCAGGTCTCTCTAAAACAGCTCCTTAGGAGGGTGGAGAACACAGATTGGCTGTGTTGTGCTGGGTGTGTGTGTATGAGATTTAAAAAAAATGGGACCCATTGTGTATATTCGGAAGTGTTACAAACACCCTAGATCTGTATGGATTCGGGTCTGCAGATACCAACTCAACTGCTGGAAACTGGACAGAGCTCAGGGTAGCTTTTAAACAGCAAAGGTGTTTGTCCTATTTTTTTGGCACAGTCTAGTTTCTGCCCTTATATTATTAAAAATAGTTTCTGGTCTACATTCTTGTATACCGCATTCCTAGGTATCTTTTGAACTACCACGGAAACAAAAGCTATGCACAGCTTGTAAGGAAGTTTTGTTGCAGGAAGAAACACCTACAATGGCAAATTAGATTGGACACTGCCACACTTAAATCCCATTACTGCTTGAAAGAAATGCAGAGTGTGTTGTAAGAAAAAGTCTATTGTAATGCTCCCAATTTTCCCACATGATTTTAAGCTCCATCTTTTTCTATGTAAAACAATAGAGGAAGATGGAAGTCTTCCTGGTAATAGTTGATACTCCCATTAAAAGAATGACTTAAATTTGATAAGCAGAAAATTTTATTATTCAATTATATGACTCTTGCCTCCTCATTATGTTTTTGTCTTGATCCTTCTTGACTTTATTTCTTTAAAACAACCATGCGTCTCATTTCTAAGAGTGTTTGCAGATGTAGAGTAGGGAAGCTGATGGTGCATCCTTCAAAAGCTTTGCTTACTCTAGTTTGCAGATATGATTTTGTCAATTATTTACATCTAGCTATCTGTCTTCTTTGTTAGGAATGAGGTTTTAGGGTGGAAGGAACTTAAAGCTATTAAAAGAATTCACACCTAAGGTTGCTTCCCATGTGGAGTTTCTGAAATAAGCATTAAACCAATTTCTATAAAAGTTATCGTTGAAAAAGTTTCCCTGCAGAGTTACAGGAAGGCTCACTGAAAAAGCACCAAGAACTGTTGTCTGAGGACCATTAAGAAAGAAAATCATGTGTCTGTGGGGAGACCCCACTAAAAACCCTATAAAGCCCTTCCCTCAATGGCAACGCAGTTCAAGCAGCTGGACTCTGGGCAATGTCTGGCAGTGTCAGCTTTTCACAGTCTTCCTGTGATGGGGAGTGGAGCCCACAGTGACAAGTCACTAACTAGACTGCAGTCCCAGTACACTGGCATTTTCTAGTGCTGCCACTGTGGCACACACCCAGCCCGTGCCCAGTGCTCACAGAGGCTCCGCATGCAGTGCAGCTGCTGAGGTGGAGCTGAGCTGCTTCCTTCCTCCAAGCTTCTTGCAGCCAGACCCCCAGGGTGAAGACCCATCACTGAGGTGGTTTGACTTGTGGCCTCCAGCATGTTAGTAGGCCATGGCCTTTCTTTTTGTAAAGTAGAAGAAATAAAAAGTAACAGCCCTCCTTGGGAGAGCTTGTCATAGGTGCCTGTGGATCACTGTATTGAAGAGTTTGATTTTAGGAGGGTTTTCAGAAGGTTTCTATTAAGATTTTTCTGGTAATACAGCTCATCTCAGATTGGATGAATAGCTGTCTCTTTTGGCCAAAAGCTCAGTGTGTGAGGGAGATTTGCTTGGGCATCTTTCATTACTGGTAAGGTAGGACTGCTCTTCTCTGACAGAAAGTTAGCCATATGTGGCCTTCAGTGTTCTTTGAGCTCTTTATTGTTTATGATGACTGGACAAGTACCTCATCTCCACGCCCCTCTTATTCTGAACTACTCCATCTATGACAAACAGACAGTTCTTAGTGTAATCCTCCCTCTTTCAAATTCTACTGAGAGTGACCTTTAAAAAAGAGATGATGAGGGGCCTCCCCGGTGGCAGCAGTTGAGCGCTGGGCTGCGAAGCTGCCTGCAGCCTCTGCAGCCCCAGTTTGATCCCCGGGCAATGGCGAGGGTCCCACATGGCGCGCAGACCTCTCCTGCAGCGTCCGCTGCTCCCCTCAGCAGTGTACCTTGGTCCTTCGGCCTGTTCTGCTCCCTGCTCTGGTTCCGGTGAATTCTCTCAGCCTCCCGCACTTCTGACTGTACCCAGTGCTTGTATAAATAAATAAATAAATCTTTTTTTTAAAAAAAAAAAAGAGATGATGAGATTGTGCCAAATGTACATTAGACTTCTCCTTAGGGTGAGAGATAGACAGACAAACAGGTGGAAAGGAGAGAGACTAACCATACTTTTTATTAAAAATTAGAAACATTTTTATTAGTCGAATTATCCTTTTCTTTGACATTGTTGCCATTCAAACATAATGTGCATGTGTGGTCTATTTATTAATGGTAACAAATAGCAAAAAATAAACAAAAAAATAAGCAAAATTCCATGTAGTGTGTGGGGTGGTGATTGATTTGGTTAAGTAATCAGGAGATGTCTGAAGATACAAGAATGGCATGTGTTGCTAATATTCTTATACTTGAAAATAATTTCGCAGGCATAATTTAATCTGGGATCCATGAGCCCCATAGAAGATTACAAAATACTCTCTTTCTCTGCATTTTATGAGGAGAGGGTTCATAGAAGTAAAAAAGTATCTACCATCAAAAATGGTCAAAAAGCAGTGCTATGGCGTTCATTTAATTAAACAATATTTACTGAGCAACTACTGTATACCAGGAACCCCACTAGAACTTGCTACATGAAGGTGCAGAAACCAGAAAAGGGTTGGGGCTTACATTCAAGTTGAGGAGACAGACCAGGAAGAAGAAAAACAGAAAATAGCAATCTAATGGGAGACATTCTTTTGAAGTCTATGTTTTAGGGATGATAGTTATGCCTGGACTAACTTAGCTTGTCCATTTGATGTTGCCACCTCTGCTTCAGTTCCAGGACAAATTGCTGCAGCTTGGGGCATGAGTAATTTTGCCCATATTTGCCACCCATTTGGCACTCTAGGGACTTCTTTCAGGTTCCAGCATTGCTGTAAGGTGCCACCTGACAAGCCAGGACCAACCTACAATGTTGGTAAATAATGTAGAATGCCTTCTACTGATATAATACCCTATGATTTCTAAGGCCAAATTTATATTTTAGCTCATGATTATCATCCATTAATCAAGAACTTATTAACTTGGGAGTCTAGAAATAATTAATATATATTTGTGTGAAGCATCTGAATTTTGCAAAAATAAAATGCTCAAAGCCACTCTTAGAATTACACCACCATTATACAAAATCTTGCGTAAGATTAGCTATTGTTTCAAGGTTGAGGATGAAAAAAATCCATTGAAACAATCTGCTAGTTAAATGCTACTGTCAGCCCCAAAGAACAAGATCCCACTTATTTTTTATCCTGAGGACTATTCTGTATTTAAATAACCCAAGACAATTCTTTTTCTTATAGACTTTATTTACATCTGTGCTTTGTTAATGCCTGAGAGTTCCTTTATTTTAGTTTTGCTTGTGTTGACCTTGGAGTTCATCACACTCTGTTAGTTTGATGTTCAGTCCGTAACCATACATGATAGACTTAGATACATACATGAAACGTTCATCCTAAGATAACCAAATCTCTCAGAACAGATGCTCAACTAGACTTGTTTGTTTTTAAATTTTTTTAGAATGATCTAGCCACTCATGTTTGACTGGTCTCAGAGCCTCTGTTATTCAGAATTGAGCACATTTGCACTCATAAGCTATCCTCCACCCATATTTTGAAATTGTTACTTTAGTTCTACAACAATTTGACTTTTGATGGGCCTAATTTCATTAAGAAAACATTTATCTGAAATATATTCCTCCAGGTCAATATAACCTTATGCTATATATTACATAAAGCATATTTTGAAATTCTTAAGAGAATACTTTCTAAGAACTGTTGTCTGAGCAATCGTCTTTAGATTTCACTAAAATATTCTTTTTTCCAGTTTTTCAGGTTAATGACCTTTTTGTCACCATTGAAAACATTATTTGAAATAATTGTAGATTCAAAGGAAAATGCAAAAAAAATCCCAATACAGGAAATTTCCTTGAACCCTTAATCTGTTTTTTTCCCCAATAGTACTATCTTGCATAATATCACAACAAATCAAAACTAGTATGTTAACATTGGTACAATCCACAGAATTGGTTTCAGATTTTACCAGTTATAAACCATGAATGTATGCAAGTCTATTTGTCTATGCAACTTTATCACATGTAGAAATTTGTGGACCCAGTATTACATGAAGAATCAGAATTGTTCCATCACCACAAAGCTCTTCATATGACCCCTTATAGCCACATCCACTTCCTCTTCCCCAACCCTAATTCTGTGATTTATCTCTATAATCTCTATAATATTAATCTTTTGAGAATATCATATAAATGAAATCATGCAGTATTTTGGAACTGACACACACACATATATATATATATATTTTTTTTTTTTTAATTTGGCATCATTCTCTTGAGGCCCACTCAAATGGCTGTGTGTATCAGTAGATCATTCCTTTTTATTGGCAAGTAGTATTCTGTAGTCTGGATATTTCATTTTTTTTTTTTAATTTTTCACCATACATTGTCAATCAGGTTGTTGCAATCATGATTTTTAGCATGCATTAGATAGCTTCAGATTATGATATTTTCCCCAGATTCTTTTAATGCCATTCAAAAGCTCAGGAGATAAAATCCATGCTAAGTAACATGACATGAAGTCCTTCATGGTCTGACTTCCATCATGCTTTCTGGTCACCACCCTTTGTTCTTATATCATCTCCACTCATGCTTTATAGGAAATACTTAAAAGACGACTACTCACAGTACCCTGAATTTTCTTATTTATTGTTGCCCTTGTATCATTTTTCATGCTTGTCTTTATACCCTGGAATTCTACCCCTTGTTATTAGTCAGGTAAACTGT